CTTCTTCCGAATTTTCTCCCATGTCTTCTCCTTCCGAGTCTTCTTCTTCTTCTGAATTTTCTCCCATGTCTTCTTCTTCTTCCGAATTTTCTCTCATGTCTTCTTCTTCTTCCGAATTTTCTCTCATGTCTTCTTCTTCTTCCAAATTTTCTCCCATGTCTTCTTCTTCTGTTTCTTCTTACGAATTTTCTCCCATGTCTTCTTCTTCTTCTTCCGAATTTTCTCCCATGTCTTCTCCTTCCGAGTCTTCTTCTTCTTCTTCCGAATTTTCTCCCATGTCTTCTCCTTCCGAGTCTTCTTCTTCTTCTTCCGAATTTTCTCCCATGTCTTCTTCTTCTTCCGAATTTTCTCCCATGTCTTCTTCTTCTTCTTCCGAATTTTCTCCCATGTCTTCTCCTTCCGAGTCTTCTTCTTCTTCTTCCGAATTTTCTCCCATGTCTTCTCCTTCCGAGTCTTCTTCTTCTTCTTCCGAATTTTCTCCCATGTCTTCTTCTTCTTCCGAATTTTCTCCCATGTCTTCTTCTTCTTCCGAATTTTCTCCCATGTCTTCTTCTTCTTCCGAATTTTCTCCCATGTCTTCTCCTTCCGAGTCTTCTTCTTCTTCTTCCGAATTTTCTCCCATGTCTTCTTCTTCTTCCGAATTTTCTCCCATGTCTTCTTCTTCTTCCGAATTTTCTCCCATGTCTTCTTCTTCTTCCGAATTTTCTCCCATGTCTTCTCCTTCCGAGTCTTCTTCTTCTTCTTCCGAATTTTCTCCCATGTCTTCTTCTTCTTCCGAATTTTCTCCCATGTCTTCTTCTTCTTCTTCCGAATTTTCTCCCATGTCTTCTCCTTCCGAGTCTTCTTCTTCTTCCGAATTTTCTCCCATGTCTTCTCCTTCCGAGTCTTCTTCTTCTTCCGAATTTTCTCCCATGTCTTCTTCTTCTTCCGAATTTTCTCCCATGTCTTCTTCTTCTTCCGAATTTTCTCCATGTCTTCTTCTTCTTCCGAATTTTCTCCCATGTCTTCTCCTTCCGAGTCTTCTTCTTCTTCTTCCGAATTTTCTCCCATGTCTTCTTCTTCTTCCGAATTTTCTCCCATGTCTTCTTCTTCTTCCGAATTTTCTCCCATGTCTTCTTCTTCTTCCGAATTTTCTCCCATGTCTTCTTCTTCTTCCGAATTTTCTCCCATGTCTTCTCCTTCCGAGTCTCCTTCTTCTTCTTTTTTTGCTTCTTCTTCTGAGTCTTCTACTTCTTCCGAGTCTTCTTCTTCTTCCTCTTCACCTTCCGAATCCTCTTTCTTTCTTTTTGTCCCTGCAATACATTAGTAATCATGACATTCCACAATGTGCTGTCCCATTTAACTCTTAATCATTTTTCTCTGTTCTTCGAACCATTTACACAAGCTCGTTCGGTGTGTTAGGCGCTTTTTTCCTCTGTCTTTATTGCATTTAATATGTCCCGTGAATGTCAATTTTCCTAAACCCCCTTCTCCCGTTATGTAACCTATAAATTTCAACTATCTCTTTCTAATGTTAAATATAAGTATCCTTTTTGTTTCCAATTTCACTAAAACTTGGTCGATGCCCACATGTCCAGTTCATGCTATTCTCAGCATCTTTCTGTAGAAGTACATTTCTGTTCCCTCGAGTCTTTTCTTTTTCTGCGAGGAGATTTTCCAGCATTCAGTGCTATATAGAAAGGCTGATTAACTTTTGGAAAGTATCCTTCGAAATTCGAATGCCCCTTTAGATTTCAGTGTCACCCTTTCCATCCGCTGTTAAAAAACGTTTAGATATTTAAACTTTTTTACTTGTTTCGTTTTCGTGTCGCGAACAATTTGCAATTTGCATGTTGGTCTCTTCCTTTTGCTGATAAATATACAATCTATATTCTTGCATTTGATGTTTAGTCCTTTCTTCACACTTTCCTTCACTGTCTTCTTTAGGAGTTCCAGTACTTTCCATTTTGTGTCTGCTATCAACAGTATGCCATATGTATATCTTATGTTTTAATGGCTATAGCCCCCAATGATCGCCTCACTGTATTGGCTGAATAATTTTGATGAGAAGAGACCTCTTTGTTTACATCCCTTTCTATTGTGTATATTTACTTAATTCATTTTCTACTCGTATATATGTGGGTTGCTTCCAGTATAAGGTCTGGTTTATTCTAATACCCTTAGTAATAATATTATTAGATTAATTTTTCGACCTATATTAATTCATATTTCTGTAAAAAAAAAAATACTATATACTTTAGTTATACAACTCTTATATATCTGAAAGGGAGGCACGGGGGAGTAATGGATAGCGGCTCGAATTGAGGTGTCGGAGAGCCGAGTTCGAATTCCAGCCGAATCCATTTCATTCACTTACGTGCTAATACCCTTGGGAAACGTATAAATTCTCCCCCAGGTTCTGTAGTCTTGGATGTCAACCGCCGAAAGTAATGTCAACCTACTGCGGGAAAAAATCTGCCTAGTCAGTCAAGTATCGACGGATACATGATCACCTAAGCGTGTATCACGCATGGCACAGAACTGACTGATATACGTGAAACCAATTTTCTTTTCCTTTATTATTCATGATATGTTATTGGTGTATAAGAACAACGTATGTAAAGATAGATTATTTTAAAACCAGTTGGATATTGAGAATTTTTATTTTCTTATTGATATTTCCTTTATACATTAACAAATCATAATGGGAAAATCTGCTTCTTAAAGACACTACGGTCAATTTGAAAGATATAACACTGTTGTGACCAAGTAATCTATTTATCTATCTATCTACTATCTATATTTCTCATGTTGTCTGTCTGTGTGTCTGTCGTGGGCGTTGTTACGTCGCCCAGGCCGCATTTCTCACCCGATTTCGATGCGATTTTCATCCCAAGTTTGCAAATGGCTGCCTTAAGGACATGACGGAGCCAGATTTTTCAGTTCGGACTCAGGTTCCGAAAAAATCGAAAATCGAAAAAAATCTGCTTACAGAAGGAATTATTGCATTTCAACCAAATTTGACACCCTCTTAGAGTCTAGCATTAGAAGTGTTGTCCAGAAGTTTCATGACCACGGACTCCTAAACAGCGCGGAAAATCGATAAAATCCAAAAGCCTATACGCCCAGATTGCACCTGAACCCTATGTCGGTTTTTAGCGAAAACCGAGCGGATTTATGAAGAGGCCATTTGTAGTCATCATGTGAAGTTTCAACTCTGAACGCCCACCCCCAAACAGAGTGCAAATGGACAATCGGTCAACCCTTAAAAATGTTTTTCCGGTTGGGTATTTCCTAAATGCAGATTAATTTAAGGTCACGCTATGCGCGGGAAGAAACAGGTTAGTGCGTGCAGTGGAGTGGAAGAAAACATTTGACCTCAAATTCTGGAATGGGTGCAGGACCATTGTAATTCGGCTTTTTTATACCTGCTACCAGGCCTGACTTTGAGTCAAAAATGACATATTCGACTGTCAACACTTTTGCTTTAATCGTCGCATCTTACCAAAATAAGCAATTCCTTTATTCGCGTCTTTACTGAAAAAAAAAAACCCGCATACGTGCTGAGTAAAAATGGTTCCGCCCTCAGCAGTCCATTTTCCAATTCTTTAAACCTTTTCCCCGAGCCCAGGCCGCAACCCAGACCTGACGAGGAGTTTTTGCGCTAAAGCAACAGGGCTTCCTCCAGATCCATTTCAAAGCTAATGCCGGCAAACGGTTAACGGCTTTTCGTTATCGCACAAACCAAACGAGCAAATGCTTCATTGCAGCATCTCATCGCCGGCATCACGTGCGTTAGAGCCAAGCTACATATGCAGCAGGCAGCTTGACCCCGTTTACGACCAAGCCTTGCGCTTGCCAAATCATATGCGCTAGCATCTTCCATTTTGCGTGAACTTATTCATTGGTCTAAGTCATGACCATCGTCCAGGCTACATCAATCAATGACAAGTCACGCTTCCTTTAAATACCTTCAGCGCGGCTTCATCCGCCGTCACGTCTTGATTTGATCGCCATTAACGCATCTGTCCTTGGATTAATTGACAGCTTCCTGCTACCGCAAGTTACCTATTAAACGTTTGCATTACCCATTTTATCTCCGCGTTCTGCCTCTACTGCGCAGCCCAGTCCATCTTAACGTTCCATACCTATTTCTACCTTTTCGTAGTTCAGTTTTGCTATTAGACAGTTAACTGCTGTCGCAAGTTACTTCTCTTCTTGCGACGCGGCCCCGTATACCTCAGTGTTTCACTACTTTTTAACCTTCAACGCTTCAACGTTTTGGTTGCGTAACCTCTTCCTACAGCGACGGTTTCGTGCTGCCAGAAAGCACGGCCTATAGCTAGGAGAAGACTTTTCCATACCGCTCCACTGCATTTTAGTTTTCGTATACAACGAGGTTGCACCGCTTCAGCTTCGGCATCAACTTCTATTCGCTTTCTTACACAGCATTTCTACAACCATTCAAATGGCTCCTACACGACGAACATCCGCACGTCAGCAACTGAAGACCCCTAATACCGTTAACGTTACACGTGCACAACAGGCGACTGCGGATGAGCACATAATAACTCCGGTTACAGATGATCATATAGCGTCTACTTCACCTTCTGCTTTGCACTCTTCTGCTTTGCACTCTTCTGCGTGCCGTGGCAATGACCAATCCGGCAGCTCTGCAAAGGCTGCAAAAACATCCAGGCGAGGCAACCTTAGCAGGCGTTCTAAAAAAGCCTCACCTGCTAAGGGGAAACGGGAGCAGGATTCCATTGAGTGCGCCTCCTTGGGCGAGAAGCGGCTGGCGTCAACTTCAACCTCTGCTTTGCACTCTTCTGAGTGCCGTGGCGATGACCGACCCGGCAGCTTTGTTGAGCGTGCCAAAATACCATGGCGAGGCAACCTTAGCAGGCGTTCTAAAAGAGCCTCTGCTCTGTAGCCCACCAAAGCAGTTTTGGCTTAAGATGGCGTTCAACTATGAGACAGTTTTGAGGCTTTCCGGTTGCAAAGACCTCCAAATAGGATCCATGTCAGTTGTCTGTGGGCATTGCAATGCCAAAAACTGGCCTGGAGAATCTGCAGGTTTGTGTTGTTCAGACGGTAAGGTACAGTTGCCACCTTTTCAAGAGCTACCTGCTCCGTTGAAATCTCTGTTGGAGGGTTCCAGTCCAGACTCCAAACATTTCCTCGCAAAAATCAGACAATACAATTGTACCTTCCAGATGACATCTTCTGGTGGTAATGCCTTCCGCGAAGTCAGTTGGAATCCCACCTTCAAGTTTCAAGGTCAGGTTTACCACCGGATTGGGTCTCTTTTGCCGGAAACTGCCATTGATTCGGCCTTTCCACAAATATACTTCATAGCTGACTACAATCAACAGGGAGATGCCCGCATAGGCATTATTCTCGAGAACGATACAGGCCAGCACAATCATCCTCGCAGGGATATCATAATGTGTCTCCAACAAATGCTCCACGAGATAAACAGCTATGTCCGCAGTTTTAAGTATGCTCTCAAAAATAACACTTCTTCTGATTTCATTATTGTAATTGATGCTGACAAATGGCCTCAGAGAGAGCACGTATGCAAGTACATCAACAAAGAGACTGATGCTGCAATGTTTGGTATTAGGCAGGAAGGTTCCGTAGACGAAATCCAGGACTTCCTTGCAGGGCGCGTCATTAGCAGCACAGAGGGCCCTTGGCACATATTCAGCTTCCCCATCCACGAACGCTTCCCAGCAATCGTCCAGCTTACTGTGCACCTAGAAAACGACGAACTTCGTTATTTTTCTGCGGATGCAGCAATGCATGTGGCTGCGCGTACCAAAGACACAACGCTTACAGCATTCTTCAAACTTTGTCGACAGGACGAGTTTGCTAGGACTCTACTGGGCTCGGCGGAAGCACGAGGCCAACGTCGAGGGCTATCCAGGCGTCAAAAAAGACGCCACACTCGGAAGGGTATTCACGGTTCCCCCATCGCGACAGGAATGTCTTTACTTGCGACTCCTTTTGCACGAAGTTAATGGTCCAACGAGCTACAATAACTTACGGACGGTTAATGGAGTTTTATGTGACACTTTTCGTGAGGCCTGCCTCCGTCTCGGCCTTTTGGAAGACGACAGCCAGTGGGATGCCACATTGGCTGAGTGAGCCCTTTTAAAAATGCCCTCTGCTTTGCGCCACCTCTTCACCACAATCTTACAAATGTGCGAACCTAGTGATCCCAAATCACTTTGGGACAAATACAAGGACTTTTTGTCCGAAGACATACTCAGAGAAGCGCAACTGCTCTGTCCAACAATGGTTCTTACATTCAACGATGGAATTTACAACAGGGCGCTTATAATCATTGAGAACCTGTTCGTTGAAATGGTGGGGGGATCTCTTGCCGCTATTGGGCTTCCAACGCCAGATCGTCTGACTTCCTCCAGTCTCTCACCTGAGATTGTGCAGGAGACATCCTACTCTGTTGAGAAGCTCAACGCCTATGTCACAATAAATGAGCCAAAACTTCTCATAGACCAAAGGGCCGCTTACGATGCGGTTCTTGCATCCACCAGGCAGGATACAGGATCAATTTTCTTCCTAGACGCTTCTGGGGGAACGGGAAAAACGTTCGTATCAAAACTGCTTCTTGCAGAAATTCGGCGCCATGGCGAAGTGGCGCTAGCAGTAGCATCTTCAGGCATTGCTGCCACATTACAACCGGGTGGCCGAACAGTGCACTCAACGTTTAAACTTCCGCTTGACCTGATTAAGGCAGAAAGAGCTGTATGCAGAATAGCCAATCAATCAGTTCTAGCGGAGGTACTCAGGCGATGTAAGCTTATCGTCTGGGATAAGTGCACTGTCAGTCCCAAAACTGCACTCGAGGCTGTAAACCGCTCTCTGAAGGATATTCGAAACTCCAATGACCTTATGGGAGGTATAACTGTCCTTCTATCCGGTGACTTTTGCCAGACCCTCCCCGTTGTGCCTAAGGGGACAAGGGCCGACGCTATTCGAGCGTGTTTGAAATCGTCACAATTTTGGCTCACTGTTAGACCATTGCACCTTACCACCAACATGTGTGCACACTTAACTGGCGATGTTGGGTCCGCCGAATTTTCGAATACATTATTAGCCCTTGGCGAAGGTATAATTCTAACGGACACTAATGGATTTGTAAACGTCCAAGGGTTGTCTACAGTGGTCACAACGCCAGCAACACTCATGGAATCAGTTTTTCCTGATCTTCAATCCTACTACAACAATATTGAGTAGCTTGCTGGGCAGGCCATTCTTGCCCCAAAAAACACCACTGTGACAACCCTTAATAGACAGCTTTTGGAAACTGTTCCAGGTGTGTTGCACTTTACTCCAGACCTCGCTGAAATGGCGAACTTTCCAGTGGAGTCTCTGGTCTCCCTCCTCGCATTCTGGAACTTAAAGTGGGGATGCCGGTTATGTTGCTTAGAAAACTGCGTCCACCGTAACTCTGTAGTGGGACCAGGATGGTTATTCAGGCCCTACACCCAAATATTATTGAGGCCAAAATTATAACTGGCGGCGGTAAATGGCAGCAAGTGCTTATCCCAATGATGCATTTGTATCCATCAGATGCCGACGTACCCTTCACTTTCAGAAGATCCCAATTCCCAGTCGCACCCTGTTTTGCTATGACAATTAATAAGCCCCAAGGACAACGCTGCCTGTCACTGGTGTACACTGAGAGGAGCAGTGCTTCTCAGACGGCCAACTTTGCTTGCTCTCGAGTCGGCAGGCGCGAGGATGTGTTCCTTTATTCACCCTCGCAAAAAGCTAAAAATGTGGTCGACACTGAAGTCCTCAGCCAGTGATATGCAAACTCCATTCCATTTTTTCTTTTCTATGCAAGAAAATTGAGGTCCCTGCCAAATCAAACACATTGAATGCTGGATTTGTGGTTTTGAATAGAGACATAGTAGTATATCCAGTCTCAATATTTCAGGAAACTGGATTGTGTGTGAAAAAGTATTTGTTGTTAACATTCTTTTTTCATTCGGTTTTTCCAGTTACGAGTCTTTTTTTAAAGCTGATCGTTTTGTGTTCATTTTTTTAGTTCTTTTTTCGTAACAGATTTAATGTTTAGTATAGAGGTTAGAAAAATTCGCAGTGTGGAATGTGGACCGAATTCGAGGAGCCAGGTAAAGACACATAACAGTACCGACCCTTCAGGATTTTGTCGACAATCTCAGGGTATATAACCAGTGTACCAGCCCAGATATGGCTGCAGTATTCAATGCAGAGACGGATGATCTCTATCTATAAAAGGTAGGATGTGTGTGTGTGTGTGTGTGTGTGTGTGTGTGTGTGAATAGGCAGGAAGATCCTATTGGCCAGCGTGAGAGCCAACAGCTGACTGACACGAATGTTAACTAGCATACTAGCATGCAAAAAAAATCGATAGCTGCATTCGTCACAAATGGGAAAAATTTAAATCTGCATGGCACTTTACTCCAATTGGCTCATTCGCTTGCTTAAACGTTGATTCTGATTCCGCAGAACTGGGTTGGGTGTGAAAAAGTATTTGTTGTTAACATTCTTTTTTCATTCAGTTTTTCCAGTTACGAGTCCTTTTTTAAAACTGATCGTTTTGTGTTCATTTTGTTTAGTTCTTTTTTCGTAACAGATTTAATGTTTAGTATAGAGGTTAGAAAAAATTCGGAGTGTGAGATAGGCAAGAAGTAAGGCATGTAGCAACATCAGCACGGCAAAGGGCACTCCTTTAAAGACATAGAAGGGCAAAAATATTTAAAGTCAAGTGTTAGCGATCGCTGTATGAGTCGTACGATTTTTGAATCACGCACGGGCAACGTCGGGTCATGCTTCTAGTGGTTTAGAAATAACAAAACAAGAGGTTTCAGATAAATAGTGTATTGAACAGTAAATGCAACAGAAGGTTTTGCACGACTTGGGAGTGTGTTCGGTTGACCAGCGTTCAGCAGTCCCCCCTCCACAAGAGGATACATGTGGCACAAGGCCAAGTTTAACGTGGGTCATCCGAGCACGTAGGCTCGGCCAGAAATTCCCGTAGAACCCGCATAAACGAGTTCTGATCTGTCTACCTCCCCGGACGAAACTCTGCCCTTCGGCACAGGCTAGTCTGGCTTCCTCTCTACCAAAAACAGAGAGTTCAACAAGAGCCGTGATTAGCCTCAGTAGAACAATCTATATCACCGTTCCCCCGGGGCTTACTTCCCTAATACTTTATAGTAAGTGCAAGCGGCCACAATAGTCTTATTAGAGAGAAGAAACCACAACAAACACTAAACAAAATAATTAGAAATATATCCTTGAACGAATCAGTGAGATTTTCAAGGTGGAAATACGTTAAAATAAAATGTAAATATGGTGACAAAGCATAGGAAAATATTTGAAAGAAAATTTGGGGTAGGAAAATCAAGTGCTTATAGCCAAAGAAAGTAGTGTTGACATAGAATTCAAAAATATATTCAGATGTTTAACCAGAATCTATTTTGATATTATTTTCGTTAAGCTGATTAGAAAAAGTAACGTTATAAAAGCCTGCTTTTTGTTTAATCGTTTGATATCATCGCTGTTACAGTAATTCTTCACTTTAGCAGTTTTAATCTAAGTATCCACTCGAAAATTATGGCGACAGGATACAATGATAAATTTTTTGTTCCAATTAACTGTAAAAAAAACAATGATAATATGTTTGTGAAAATTAATTGTAATTAAACTTCCAACAATTAAATACCAAATTTACAGTTTTTTTTTTTTGTTGTTTGTTTTTGGGTGGGTACCCTGTACAATGCGATTATTCTTTTCCAACGTTGTCCGTCCTTTGGCCGCAGTTTTCAATTTATTCAGGCTTTACTGAGGAATAATATTTAAGATAATTTTTATATTCTGGGATTATTATTTTCTTTTGTTAGTTCTTTGGTAAATTTTGAATGTAAATTGTACAGTTTCTTCTGAGAACTTTTGGGTTTCACACACATGTGGTCTGTCCGGAAATTATCCAACCATTTTGAAGACACCAGGAATCATGTTTCACATTCTGGATTTACATTTAACACTCAATCAGCTATGGTCTTTCTACGTATGCGTGGGCAGAAACTTTCACGAGGCAGTGACACGCCATTGAGTGAACTTAGTATTGTATGGCCGTGGTATTCACAGCGAATGTGCACGATTCACTCTGGAATAACTGCCGCGGCAACTATTCGAATCATTAAGAAAGCCTTCGATGATTATTTAATGAGGAACGACCAGATAAAATTCAGATATCAAAGTTTCAAATTTGGATAGGAATCGGTTGAAAAGCGATTCAGCTTCTAGAAGGCCTCTAACAAGGAAAATACACGATAATGTTAAACGCATACGTGGGTACAATGGAGAGAAATAAAACATTGATAATGCAAGTATGAGAAACGGCTGGAAAGACTTCTCGCATCCCGTAAGTCTATCACCACCCGATACTGTACTGACTTAGTCTCCTAAGACTTCTCTAAAATCGAGAACAAAAATTGTTGTTGGTTCATAAGAGAACGGACGAGATTACGGAGAGTGCAACAAAACAGCTTATTGAGATCTCCATAACACTGAAGTATTTATTGTCTATGTGTGATTATTTTTCCTTTAATATTAAATCGTCGGATCATAATCAGTATGGACAATGTTTGAATTCGTCTCAAGATATTACGTATTAATTGAATTTCTTCCACGTCTTCCTTCCTATTAACATTAGGATACCCAGTGCTGAAAAGAGCCATAGCATGACCACGCTGTTGTATATTCTGTAGCTCGTTGTTTTTTTTTGTTTTTTTTTACACCAAAGTAGAATTGGATTCCTAGTTCGTCATCTAGATTGATTACCAACCAAAGCCAATCTATACTACTAGTTAACCCATCAGAGTGAGGATGGAGAAGATACATTCATTTCTCGCCCAAGGGTATTAGTGTGAAAATGAATGCAACGAACCCTGCCGGAATTTGAACTCGACCCACCGATTCTATTTTTCGTACCGATAAGCAC